CAAAAAGAGAAAGGAAGGAAGGGAGGAAGGAAGGAAGGAAGGAAGGAAGGAAGGAAGGAAGGAAGGAAGGAAGGAAGGAAGGGAAGAAGGAAAGAGAGAGAAAGAAAGGAAAGGTCTCAGTATGTTGCCCAGGCTGGCCTCAAGCAACCTTCCGGCTTGAGTCTTCTGAGTCACTTCCTTTCCTTCCTTCCTTCCTTTCTTCTTTCTTTCTTTCTTTCTTTCTTTCTTTCTTTCTTTCTTTCTTTCTTTCTTTCTTTCTATTTATTTATTTTTGGTTGTTTGAGACAGGGTCTCCCTGTAGCCCCAGCTGAGCTGGAACTCGCTATGTAGACCAGGCTGGCCTTGAACTCACAGAGATCTGTCTGCCTCTGCCTTCCATGGGCTGGGATTAAAGGTGTGTGCTACCACTCCCAGTAGAAGTTCTTAATTTTAATTATAGTTGATCTTTATCCATCTTTCTCTTTTTTAAATATTTTATTTATTCTTTTTATTTTGTGTATGAGTATATTGCCTGCATGTATGTGAGTGCACCTGTGTTGTGTAATGCCATGGAGGTCAGAAGAGGGCTTCAGATTCCTCTGGAACTAGAGTTAAGGATAGTTTGTAGCTGCCATGTATGTCCTGGGAATCGAACTCAGGTCCTCTGCAAGAGCAGTCAGTGCCCTTAACTGCTGAGCCATCTCTTCAGCCCCAAAACCCATCTTTCTCTTTATGTGAATCTTTATTTTATTTTGATTCTTATGCTTTGTTTAGAAAAGCTATCCTGATGTCATTTAAAAAAAAAAAAAACCCTCTATGTTACCTTCTAGGAGCTTTACAGTTTTGCTTTTACATTTAAGAATTTTAATCTACCTGGAATTGATTTTTGTATGTGGTATAATAGGGATTTAATTTCATTTCTCCATACAGATCTAGAATTGTCCCAGCCACATCTATTGACTAGTGTATCAGGTCCACATTGACCTGCTGTGCTATGTCTGAAGAGATGAAGTTTCCAAGTGTTCTTGGGCTTTTTTCTGTGCCTCAAATGATTTATTTGTCTTTTAACAATATTATATTATCTCAACAATGACAGCTTTATTAAAATTTCTCTCATCTTCAGGATTAACTTTTCTTATGATCTTTGTTTTTTCAAATGCATTTTTATTAGCTTGTTTTGTGTAACTATTGGACTTTTGGGTGGAAGGAATTACATTTTCTCTCTGGATTACAGGCATGTTTAAATTTAAAGAAACAACAACAACAAAATAGTTGGCCTGGTGGCTCAGGCTTGTAAGACCAGCTATTGGGAGGTTGAGGTGGGTGATGACAAGTTCAAGTCTTGCCTGGGCAACTTCATTTCCTTTAATGGTGTAGCCAACTGGAAGACTACTTGAAAAGGGAAAAGGATTCAGAGAGAAAGAAGGGGGATTGCAGAGTAGTGTGTGTGTGTGTGTGCGTGTGTGTGTGTGTGATCCTAAGTACAATATATTGAATGCATGTATGCATGAAACTGTCCAAAATAAGAAAAAAAGTTTTTTAAAAAAGGACTGAGGATGGGCTGGAGAGATGGCTCAGTGGTTAAGATCACTGAGTGCTCTTGCAGAGGACCCAAGTTCGATTCCCAGGACCTACATGGCAGCTACAAATCATCCTTAACTCCAGTTCCAGGGGAATCCGAAGCCCTCTTCTGACCTCTGTGGCATTGCACGACACAGGTGCACTCACATACATGTAGGCAATACACTCATACACATAAAATAAAAATAATAAAATATTTTTTTAAAAAAAGGACTGAGGATATATAGCTTAGTGGTAGAGCTGCCTAGCATGCATGCATAAGGACCAAGAATTTGGGTAACTGAGCTTGAAAAAAATCAAATAGGACTAAAAATGAAAAAGTAAATACCATATTTTATCAGCAATAAGTAGGATTTATCAGGAGAAACAGCATGGTTTTTATGTGCCATCAAAACCACTGCCACTTAGTAGAAGATGCGACCCAACTGTATGATGCATCTTGATTTCAAAGGTGTTGAAATATGGGAAAAAACTGTTTTAGAATTGATAGATTATGAATAATTGAAATTTAAAACATAGTTGATCAATTACATTACATATTAAAATCATCTGATGAAAATAACAAATATCTGATGCAAATAAATGATCTGAAATGTAGCCTGGAAAGGCAGTGAAATGAAAATATGACATAATGGCTCAAAGTCTGAGAGAGCAGCATGAAAAGGGTTCCCATTCATCTAATCAAAGCTCCACATGAAGGTAATGGGGAACACAAAGGAGACAATGTTTGAAAAACACAATGGCTGAGAAAATTTGAAAATAGCGGAAAGAGAGTAATATCCAAATGCAGGAAACTAAATGATCCTCAAACAGAAGAGAACAAAGCAATCTGTGCCCAGGCATATCATGGTGTTTCTGAAGGATACATGATAATAAAGCTGTAGAACATCAAAAGACGAGAGCGCTTCAAAGTAACAGGGATGAGAAAACCTCCCAAAGAACACGAAGCAGATAGAACAACAGATTAGACAGCAAAAAGTGGAAGCCAGAGCACGGGGGGCGGGTGATTTTTCAGTGTGTGTAGAGAAAAACGATAATAAGTAGAATTTACAAACATTAGAACTCTTTCAAAAATGAGAGCAGGACAAAGACTTTTCAAAGAAATCAAAACAAAAAGTTTTAAGAAAGAGACTTCGAGTGGAGGAAAAAAAGACCCTAGATACAAGGTGTCCCTTCTAAGAGGAAGTCAAACCTAGAAGAAGGCTTGCTTACCTCTTGGTTGTCTGGCTGGCTGTTGGGACTGCTTTGGATGTGCAAATCCTTACTTTTGTGCCAACTCAGTGATGCATTTAAAAAGGTGTTATTGAAAATATTTTATCTTGCATTTAAGTTGTTTCATTTGAGGCAGAATTGTTTAGGTGTTTTAACCCTGCCCACTTGCAGGAAATAAAAGTCCTCTGACAAAATTTTGTTAGAGAATACTTAAGTCAACATGTTACCTGTTCTCAGGGTACGATATGCTTTCCCATGGTGGTGCAAATACAATTTACCTGTTGTATGCTTTTAATTATCAACTTACCCATTAGAAATACAAGGGCCAGGACTACACTGTGCTCCCAGATCTCAGCAAGCATGGCAAATAGTAGGTGTCCCAGTAGACTGTTTATTGAGTTAAATGATTAATGAGCCATTAATTATGAGTGAGAAGCCAGCAGAAGAAGCTATGTGTCTGCTTCAAATTCAGCCATTGGAGGTGGTAGTTGTAAGCCTAGTGAATTCTACTGAGCTCAGCCATCTGATAATGGTAGTGGTACCCTACATGGGGCTATTTAAGTTAACTGAAATTAAACACAATTAAAAATTCCTCAGGCATGTCAAGGTGCCAGTGACTGTCCTCTTAGACAGTGTGGAGGTAGAACATTTCCATTATCACAGAAAGTTCTATTGGAAGTGCTGCCATAGAATTCTCCAGAATTCCTAACTGCTTCTCTTTCTCTTGCTCTTATTCTCACTCTCATTCTCTCTCTTTCCCTCTCTCTGCCATCCCTAAACCAAGTACAGGGATAGTGGTCTCATTGTTAGTGACTTAAAATGATGCTTTTGAACAAGAAGATGCTGGGTGCTTTTGGTGACTAGTGCCATTCCCACTTTTTTCTTTTGAATTTCGGAGCTATTATCTACCAGCTCATTCTTTTACTCTCTTTGCTACTAAAGCTGCATAATTGCTTTCTTTTCTAAGTCCTTAAACCCTTTGCTAATGTTACTGTGTGAGAGTTCCCAAAGCTGGGGTTCTAGGAGAGTTTGCCCTGTCTGAACAGCTGACCCATGAAATAATGGAGTAGGGCAGGCAGGGTGGGGAGCTGGACTGGCTATCAATAGAAGAGCTTGCCTCTCTACTCACATGGCCAATTAATTGGCTGTGGTGGGGAAGTAGGGGTGGGGAGGGGGCTGCTGAGAATCTCCAGTGACAGTTAAGTGGCCTTTGTGGACGGAAAAACTTTGTTGGATTTTGACTTGGTCTCTGCCCACCTCTTGTGAATTTCTATTCGATTCATTCATCATTCAGGCCTCATCTTACACTTCATTCTTCCAAGATGACTACTTTGTATGCTGGGCTCTATTTTAGTCTTACTATTTCCAGACCATAAAGAGACTGTGTAGGGCTTCAGCGGCACTGAGATATGGACTTTGCTGTTTGTTGAGAGCTGTAGTGACTGACATGGTCTGCATGCCCTGCAGAAATCGTTCCACCTTTTCAACAAAGTGGTGACTATCTGACAACAGAGAGAAGGGATACTGGCTGAATTCTTTCTCTTGTACAATATAGATTTCCTTTGCTTCCCTTTCCTTTCCATTCCCCTTTTCCCTGTTGCAACTGGAGTACAGACCTAAGATGTACCTGTGACTAAGAATTAATGCCTTTGAAATAATAAGACATTACATTTCACAGGCTTCGCCAAGCCCATTCACCCAGGTTGTCTCATCTAATACCTCAGGCCTCCTCGTGAGGTAGGGAGGGGAGGTATTTTTAACTCCACTTGGCTAGTGAGTTAATTCACTGAGCTTAGACCAGGTGAGAGGCCCCAGTTCCTTTAGACAGGGTTTGAGCACCTGGTTCTCTGTCTCTGAACCTAGTGACCTTTCTGTGTAAGGAGGATATGGCCCAGGGACAGTGTAAGTGGATGGAGAGGGAAGCAGAGGGAGAGATAATCTAGGACCACCAGCTGCTTCTTTTTCTCATGAGGAGGTTGGCACAGGGAATTTCCTCCCCATCCCGCAGAGGAAAGAAAAGCTAAGGGTGTTTGTTGTCTTCCTCTTTCTCTTTCCATTCCCCTTCCTAGGAGAGGGTTCGCCTAGGGAGAGGAAGGAGAGGGGTTAGCCTGGCTCTCCCAAGGCCTAGCATGTGGGTGGCTACGTGCTGGACCCCCTTAGAACCTAATGTCCATTCTCAGGCTGGACCTACCGGCCTTTAGGTGCTGTGCTGTCCTGAGGCCTGGGCCATGCCAAGGCTGGAGGAAAGCCTTTGAACCTCGCCTGGAGAAAGAACCATGCAGGGTACTCTAGGAGGAGGAACAGGCCCTGGGCTGTTCGCTCTGGACAGCCGGACACTCCTGATATGCTGCTTTATCCTAAATGTAGCTTGGGGCCAAATGAATTTCACAGGGTGAGTCTCTGCTGCTTGGTGGGAAGGAGGGCTGGCTGGGAGGGAGGAGATCTGAGTGTCTGATAACTCTAGGTCTGTGCGGTAACTCTGTGTGCATGTGTGCACATATGTGTCTCTCTGTCTGTCTATTGTCTGTCTGCCTGCCCTGCTTGGACCAGACCAAGGCTGCACCATTCATCCAGAACCCATTTTTACTCCAGGACAGGCCACTTAAGTATGTTATTAACCCTCTCCAAATAAAGAGTTCCAAATCTGAAGCACAAGGTTAAGTTTTCAAAGCTCCAAGGAGCCCCTAAAATTGGGACTAACTAGTTGGAAAGAGGAAGGGGATCAAAAGTGGGAGGGGAACAAGAAAGGATCGGGAGAATATACATATTCACTATGAATCAAAATATATTCAGTATGAAAATGTCATGATGAGATCCATTATTATGTACAGTTAATACATGATAATAAAAACAAAACAAAAAACAAAGAAAAATACCCTAAAATTACATGGAATTGTTTTCATGCATGTTCTTCTTTGGGTGTGAAGGTTTATAATGTTCCTAAATTCTTTTATTGGGGGGCGGGGAGTCTTTTTGAGACAGGGTCTCCCAGTAGCCCCAGCTGGCCTGGAACTCACTTTGTAGACCAGGCTGGCCTTGAACTCACAGAGATCCACCTGCTTCTGCCTCCCAAGTTCTGGGACTAAAGGCATGCGCCACCACGCCCAGCTACTTTCCTAAGTTCTTAAAGAAATTAGTAACCCCAAGACTAGGTGCTTCTACCAAAAATGGATGTGGTATTATCTTTTGAATAACAGAAAGTTCTAGTACACATACCAGGCCTCTCAAATATCTCAGGAGGAAGATCCTCCATAGACTTCATCTCAAGGAAGACAAGATACATACAACTTAGAAAAGGGTTCATGAGCTGGGTGTGTACTCCCAGCACTCGGAAGGCAGAGGTAGGCGGATCTCTGTGAGTTCGAGGCCAGTCTGGTCTATATAGCAAGTTTCAGGCCAGCTGGGGCTACAGAGAAACCCTGTTTCAAAAAGATCAAAAAAGAAAAAAAAAGAAAAGAATTCATGTTCTGGGTCTCAGAGCCAGAGAGAGAGCCAACACCACCACCCCAAGTGCTGAGCCTGGAAGCTCACCATGTGAGACTCTGACTTGCCCCTTCCACCTGGAAGGGAAGGACTCAGCTTTTGTGCCAAGTGGGTGCGGTTATCTGATCTCCCCTTCCTTGGGGAACAGGCTGGGCTCCCGTATGTAGAGCACATGGAGCTTCCAGTTTCCCCCAAACCATTGGAACCCTTTTTTCTTCTTTATTCCTTCTGTTCCCTGTATGGGAAGGTGAACTCATATACCCACAGGCAAGCACACATATGTATGCAAATACCCCCCCCCACTCACAGTTGACCCTCATAATCTATTTCCATCCTTCCTTCCCACTCCTGTCCATCTTTACTTTAGGTTCAGTCAGGAAAGTGGTCAGGGGACCCCCAGCTCTGGGCTGAAGGACTGAGTGGCTCCCAGAGCTACAAGTACTTCCTGTCAGGCCTCCTTTCAGTTCAGCCTCCCTAAAGACACAGCTGTCCAGAAGGCCTCTACAGTTTCTTTCATCCTTCTCATGTTTCCCCAGAGACCAGGTTCTTCGAGTAATAGCCAAAGATGAGAAGCAGCTGTCACTTCTCAGGGATCTGGAGGGCCTGAAGCCCCAGAAGGTGAGGATTGCTCAGGGCCGGGGGATATCACTGACACAACACTTGTCCTCAGCTCCTTGTTTACCCCCTATTCCATCCAACTCCAGACCTTCCTTCCTGAGGTCTCCAAAAATTGTCACTAAACTCTGGACAAGGCTTCTCTGTCACAGGTCAGGGACATGTCCCCACAAAGTTGGGTGGCCTTTGTAAGCTGTGGCTTCTTTAAGCTTTTCCTCGGTCATGGTTGGGGGATGCTGAGTACACTCTGAGAACAGCTGCAATGTCCTAAAGCCACAGGGAAGCACAGATGTCCCTGCCATGGTGCCACGTAGCACAGGGCCTGCATGCATCTGCTTCCCAATTGGAATGGCTTAGCTTGGCAAACCTGTGTTGTATTTGGGTTTGTGTCTGTCAGCCTGAGTATTTGTTTCCAAGAACATTTGTCCTCTACAAGTTTTCACAATGGAAAACATTTTCTTTGACAATTATAATAGAGGGCTTTTGTTTAAGGGCTTGTAAAACAACAGCTATTTCTGGATGTGGCCCAAAGTTCTTGTTCCTCTTTGTGCGAGTCCCTATCAATGAAAGAGTCTTCCATTTTACAAATTTATAGACAGATGTAGGATGTGGGCTCCAGATTATACTTCTCCTGCTTCTCAGGGAACTGTGAGCAATGATGCCCCTCTTCTAACTTGGGTTCTTGTCCAGGCTCATGTCCCAGGTGATGAACAATGTCACTGGTAGGAATTCCTTGGGGTTCCATGGATTCAGGCAAAGTTGAATGGGTGAGGGAGGCTGAGTGACGAAGGTGGCTAGGAAGTCAAGAAAGTGGCTGAGGTGGGTAATTTATTTCTCTTCATATGGGCTTTTCATCATGTAACTGAATCCCTTTTAAGTATGAAAGAAACTCACCTGGCCCTCTAGGGTACCTACCAAGTGTTAAGGACAAGCCATAAATACAGCTGTGCTTCTTTCCTTTGTGAACAAGGTGGACTTCTGGCGCGGCCCAGCCAGACCGAGCCTCCCTGTGGACATGAGAGTTCCCTTCTCTGAACTGAAGGATGTCAAAGCTTACCTGGCATCTCACGACATTGCTTGCAGTGTCATGATAAAGGACATCCAGGTGAGGTCCCACCCTGGTACCACAGTGAGAGACTTATTTCTACATGGTCTTATTTCCCACATTCATTTTTGGTTGGTTCCCACCGTGGAGAAAAAAAATACTCAGCCTAAAAGCTGACATTTTGTTCTTGGATATTCATCTACATGTTTTTGAACACATTATGGAAGAAATTCAATTGCACATTTCTGGGTCTGGGCATGGAGCTGGTTAGCAGAGGTTAGCATGCTTGAGGCCCTGGGTTTGACGCTCAGTTCTGTTAGAACTGAGTATAAAACAGGGCACGTATCTATAATCCCAGAGCTTGGGAAGTGAAGGCAGGAAGACCTTAAACCATCCTCAGCTATATATGGAGTTGAAGTCTAGCCTGGGCTACATGAGATCTTGCCTCGAAAAAAAAAAAAAGTATATATATATTTTTTCTTC